GAAATGAAAATCCGTATAATAAATGGGGGAAATATATTTAAAAAAAATATTAATAGTACAATACAAAGAAAAAAAGATCCATGTATTATATAATGTATTCATCAACTACACATTTAGATGACAGTTCCATTAGCCTCCTATTCTTTTTCTTTTATTCATCAGGTACTATTAAAATACAAAAAACTTATATTCCCATCTTATTATATCATTTTATTCCATGAAATCCAATCAATTATAAAAATATGTGAAAAAAATATTACTTGCCACAATAAATGGTCAAATGTGAGGTGTTGATTAGAAAAAAAAATAATAAAGTAGTAATAACAAAGTGGAAACAAACATTTGCACATATTTAACAAAAACAAAAAATAAAAAACAGAAAAAATAAGTTGAAGTAAGTAAATAGCAATTATGTCAAATTGACATCGGTCAATAATTTAGAAGAGCAATACAAATAAAAAAAACAGAATAACATTGTATTTATGATTCATAAGTACACTACTATTCTTTTGTAGGGACAAACATGTCAAATTGATAACAACCAATAATTTAGAAGAAGAATACAAATTTAAAAATTAACAGTAATCAATAATTTAGAAGAGCAATACAAATAAAAAAATAGAATAAAATTGTATTTATGATTCAGAAGTACACTGCTATTCTTTTGTATGGGAAAATATGTCAAATTGATAGCAGTCAATAATTTAGAACAACAATACCAATATAAGAACAGAATAACAATGTATTTATGGTTCAGAAGTACATTGGTATTATGTTCATTTGTAGAAAATAAATGTATCCTACTATGAAGGGATAAAAAATTGTTTTTAAGATTTGCCCTTTGCATGAATAATATCGAATGCTGCATTATCGATTTTCCATAAGGGCAAAAATGTGTGAAATTGAAACTCTTTTTAATTTAAACAAAAACAATAACAACATTAACAAAGACATTAAATAGTAGGAGGAAAACGAATAAAATCAAAGTAAATGGTTGTATTGGAAACACATATATTGAAATAACTAATTAGATTAATGTGAATACTGAGGTTTAAGTTAATGAAAGTATGCAGTGATTTGATAAAATGAATTGAAAGTGTGAAACAGAAAATGATAAGACATAGAAGTACATATTGCTGATCGTCGATGACAAGGCTGGAGAAAATTTTGCTCAATTTTTCTGCAGAGGAAATATGTCAACTGTTCCTACGTAAATCGAATAATAAAAAGGTTAGAGTTGTGTATTATGTATAGAAGATATATAACGATGAAAAAGAGGAAGTAAATAAATTGAAATGTAGTTTAAATTTAAATTTGAAATAGAAGATAACATACCTTATAAGTTCTTTTTTTGCAGAGATATCATTTGACTTATGAAAAACACTTAACTATGTATAAGATCAATTAGAATCAATTAGAAGGATTAATATGGTAAGCAGTTAGATATTACATAACGTGAATAAATATTCTATAACTAAGCTACTGATTCTATGAGATTTGATATAATCTCTATTATGAAAATTAAACGGGTATTAAAGGTAACACCGTAACTTACCTTTAGACATGGTAACGATTGACGGAAAAAAAAAGTTTTTACCAAAACTTTGGTAGATGATGTCACAAAATGATCTAAGGGTGAAAATTTTATGATCGAAATACAATCAAGAGCCTGATTGTTGAAGATGATGTGGTAAAGTTTCTCTTTTAATAATATTTAGAGTTCACATATAAATTCATTGGTTTTAACATTTTGAACAATAACTACGATATTATTACTTTTATTTTTCTTAATCTTTACTATATTATTAAACATATTGCTTGTTTCTTGAAAATTAAGAGGTACAATACCTATTACCTCATGTACAATAATATTAAGCTTATAATCACATCGTATACGTATACACGGTATTACCTTATCTCTTTGATGTTACCCTAATCTCCTCTACACACAACAGCCGCCATCAAACCAAATCTCATCCGTCTCTGTTTATCTCTTTCACCCTCACGACGTCAAGTGTTCTTCCCTGACTCCGGCAACATCACACACAAGCAGCGCACCACCACCTGTCTCCACCAAAGATGAAATTGACGCCCTGGAAGTCCACCAACCATTCACAACCCAAACACCTTCATGGATCAGATCTATATGTGTCGTATCCCAGCAACAGAAGGAAATTGAACCCCTTTTCTTTGCGTCTCCTTCCTAGTCGCTTTAGAATCGATTGATACTCACCCAAAAATCGCAGTGTCTCCTTTTCTCAATCGACCCCTATCATTTTCCCTTTTCTTCTCAAAATCGATTGTAAGTTCTCAGTTCCGATCGACAGAATTCAAGAAATGCTCCGATCGATCACCAAAACCTTCACTTTTTGATTCAGATTGCATGCTTCTTCTCTCACCCTCTCTCGAAATCGATTGCAGATGTATGTTTTTCCGTCACCGTTGTCCGCCACTTCTACCTGACAACAACCAGTTAATCTGACGATGGTGACCGTTTTTTTGATCTCACTACAGGACGATTTTGAAGTCAATTAGACCATGGGTGATAGTCAATACTCTTTCTCTCTAACAACTTGCAGATATAATCTACATGCTAATTTCTCCAATAGTGATCAACTTTGATTTCACTTGAAATCACAAAATTGCTAGAACCCTTCATCTTATCACTACTTCTTGTTGGCAGTCCTTCTGGGAAGCTTGTTCAGATTGAACACGTCCTAACAGCTGTTGGCTCTGGTCAAACCTCTTTAGGAATTAAAGGTGATTACACTTTACAAGCTTGCATTTCTTGTTATAATAAATTTCTATAGCAACAAGTTTACTATTTGGAAATTTGTGGTATAAAACTCTAATTGCATCTGATATAATTTAAGTGATGACTTCAAAGTTTAGGATCATTTTAATTTGGGATAGTCATCGTGGAATATGTGAAATATATTTCCTGACTTTCATTTAAACATTGTGGAGCCAAAAGGGGAACTGCAACACATTATATTTCACCTGTTTGTTTGTGCCTTCGAACACTAAGGCCATTAGAATGTTTTTTTATCAGAATTATCTTTGGCAAGCGTGGATCTCTGTTTAAAATTATGTTGCCTACTATGTAAGAACCATTTCAATGTTATTAATGTTCTATTCTTGCAGGTATATCTGTATGGAGGTCACGTGACATCTTGGAAAAATGAACATGGAGAAAAGTTGCTTTTTGTCAGTAATAAGGTGCCAACAATCTATAAATTCTCTTTTGATGAATTCTTTCACACTCCTATTTATACTCTTTAATTGGATGTGATTTTTATTTTGTTTTCAAGAATCCATAAATGCATGTATTTTTGCAGGCAATCTTTAAGCCTCCAAAGGCAATACGTGGGGGTATTCCTTTACGCTTTCCGCAAGTATGTGCCTCTATCTTTCTTCTGTTTAATACACTGTTCTTGGATTCATTATACTCATTGTAACCTGCTTCCTTGATGCAGTTCTCAAATCTAGGAACTCTTGAATCACATGGATTTGCTAGAAATAGATTATGGCCTCACAGGCACATTTTTTATTCTATTTTTTTAATCTTAGATACTTTGTTCTTTATCTTTCTCATAAATAATTATATTCTATTTTTTATGTTCATTTGTAGCTTTGAGTATCGACTGAGGGTTACATTGGGACTTACTGGAGACTTGATGTTGACATCCCGGATCAGAAATACAAATACTAATGGAAAGCCATTTACTTTTGCATTTGCATATCACACCTATTTCTCTGTTTCTGATATCAGGTGTAACGCCCGTGTTTGTAGGCTAGGCATTAATATTGATGTGATAGTCTAGGTTAACCTTTGTAACTCATTTTGAAGAAATGAAAAGTAATTATGTGAATATTATGTAAATTATGTGTTTTATGCTTAATTACTAGGATTTAATTAATTAAGAATAAAAATGAGCGTCGAGAATAAATATTAGATAAAGCCGATATCTATTAAGAAAATTGTAGTGGTCGTGACAAGGATTACAGATATATAAAGAATACTGAAATCCAAGTTATAACGAAGAAGTTATGACCTGTCGAAGTTTCGCGACAAAACCGGCACGGTGCCGAATGACGTAAAAAGTGAGTTTTTGATAAACTACTTTTTAGCTTTAGTGATCTAAACAAAAGTCGTAGTGTTCGTCAAACCGAGAGTATGTATAAAAAGAACGCCTAAATCTGACTTCGTATGAGGAAGTTATGATTTTTCTAAGTTTCAACTTAGCAGTAGACAGCTAAAAATTCGAATTTTAGATCGAGTGATTTTTAGCCGACACAACCTAAACTAGAATTGAAGGTCTCGTCAATAGTAGTACAACGGTAAAAAGACAGACGAAAACGGACGTCGGATGAAGAAGTTATGAATTTTTAACGAATTTCCTGTCCCGGTCTGTTAAAAATAATAATATAAAAATTAAATTCAAAATTAGCCGACGAAGTCTAAACAAAAGTTGTAGAGCATAATTTTACCTACGCGTGCATATAAAGAACGTAAACAACGGAGCTCGTATGCAAAAGTTATGGATTTTAGAAGTTTTTGCACAAAAATCGAGAAAATTCGCATAGTCGTGCTTCGGCCACGTCACCTTCGCTCCATGCGTGCCACGTGTCCGAAATTGCTGAGTCATCCGAAGTCGTGGCACATCCGAGGAGTGACGCGTGTGCAGCCTCGTCCGAGCCTCGCACCACCTGCCGCGTGTCTGACCTTCGCACCACCTCAGGGGCGGAGTATTAGTAGGGCCAGGAGGGGCTGTGGCCCCCCCTGATATTTGGGTTAGAACTAGCAAAAATTACTCCAAAATTTTTATTATAGGCCTGTTAATTTCACAATTGGGCTGTGGCCCTCCCGATTTCTCCATAGTCCAATTTCCAAACAAAAACTGAAGCGACAAGAAGTGAAATCGACCCAGTTCCTGAGTTCTGTTCGAGGTCCGACCGTCCCCATCGACCATCGTCCCTGGTGCCTCGCTGGAGTCTGGATGCTTGCTATATCGCGACTCGGTGTCTCCGACTCTCCGGTCTCGCCAATCGCTATCCACCGCAGCAGCCAACACTCACCGGAAATCAGGTATTCGTTCTTACTTCTCCAGTTCTCCTCTTGTGATTTCTGATTTGGGAACCCGGGATTAGGAATTAAGAGTGTATGTAAGGGTCGTTCTTGACTTCTTTCTTCTCCTGTTCTCCTGTTGCGATTTCTGATTTGGGAATTGGGATTAGAAATTAGGAGTGTATGTAAGGAATTAGGACTGTCGAATATGCTCCTGTGTTTGTTCACTTGTTGACGTTTTGTGATTTGGGAATCAATTCAATTTTGATTGTTAGCTTGTAAACTGTAATTTGTTACAGATTTTATGTTAGGTATTGTTTTCACTTATGATTTCAATTTTCAGTTTTTAGATACTGTTAAATGAGTTATTCTGTAATTGTAGATTTTTGTTATTTGTTATTGTTTTTACACATTGTTGAATCAATTGTTCCTTTTTTTTATAGACACAATCATGGTAAAGATGAAAACTTAGATTATTTTTACAAATGAAAACCCTTAGAGGACCAAGTTGTACACACGCGATTCTCAAAGGTATTATAAATCAAGTATGAAGCTTTATTTACAGTTGATTTGTTTGTTTAAATAATTTTCATCGACTGATGAAGCTTTAAGTTTCAGAGTATTTTGTTTAACCGGTATTTATGTTGCATAGCTTGTACTTGTAGCTTTTCAGAACGTGTAGATTTTTGAAGATTTGGTGTTCATACTTGTTTAATTGTTTGTATGTATTTGATCTGTGTATAGTGAAGTAAAATTGAGATCAAAATCTGATGGAGATGAGCTGGTCATTTAGAGTGAGGTTAAGATTTTGGAAAGACTGCCATTGTTGAATTAGTTAAAATTAATTTTTTGGTTCGAAATAGCCCCTCTACTTTAATTTTATGCATATTAGGCCTAAAAAAATAAAATTTTGGCTGTGGCCCCCCCTTCTCACCGATTTTTATACATATTATATTTCTGCCCCCCCCCCCCCCCCAAATCAAATGTTGAAGCTCCGCCCCTGCACCACCTGTCTCCCTTCCCTCTTGCTTCGGATCCGAACCTCGGACCTAGACTTCGGTCCAATTAGAGGTCAGCAGCTCACCCCTCGCACGTGCGAGCCACCTGCCCCCTCTTCGGATCTGCTGACACCTGGAAGCCTCTCAGCCCTTGGATCAGAAGCCTCGCCCCTATAAATAGAAGGGGTGCAAGACCTCCCGGTGGTACTTTGGAAATTTGCCATTTTTCACCCCTCTTTCAATATTTCTTTCATTCCAACTTCCCCCAAAGCCCCGATATCATACCAAACACCCGAAACACGTCCCGAAGTGCTCGAGAAGCCCGATAAATTTATCTTTTCGGTTTTGAAGACCAACCCTCGCAGAGCCCGGTTTCTCAATAAAACTCCCGGTTTTATTAGAAACGATCGTTTTAGGAAACGAAGTGCTGCCCGATTATCAGTAAATCATGTGAGTGTGTAGTCAATTTCACATTACACATAGATATGAAGTATTTACCTTTAAAATACGTGCTATGTGTAAATATATTAATTGTTTAATTGAGGTGACTGTTGAATAGATGTTTTATACAAGTTTTAAACTGTATATGTATTTTATCTACAAATATGTTGGGTAGAACATGGGTAGACGAAATAGTCGATGTGTGTTAAAATGGTGAGATGCCTCGATGTTGTTGTTGTAGTCGTCTAGCGGAGTATACATGAAGACCACAGACCTTTCTAGATAGTCCAGTGGAACACTAGCAGGTTCGCAACTTGTAGGTGTTGGTGAACTAAATGTTCATTGGCGTACTCCATCCCCCCTCATGGTTGCCTTTAGGACATGTATGGTTGAGGAGTACCCTTAGCAGTAGTGTCCATCCCGATGATATTCCTTAGGCTAGGTCTCTTGTGATAGGTGTTTAGGGACGTAAAGTGAGGATAACGGGAATGGGTAATCAGGGTTATTGTTGATTGGTGAACTTAATAAGTTTATTATTATTGTGGGTTGAAAACCCTATATGCTCACCAGGCTCCCAAGCCTGACCCACTCAGCTTTTTATGTTACAGGTAGTGGACCCCAAGCATAGTCGGAGGATGATGGGAGATTTTTGGATTATAGGCCAGTAGTTGTAAAATAACTGTTGTAAGGCTTATAATGTCTTGTTTATGCTTTTGATCTGTATCGGAACATGACCTCCCGAGGTTTTGATATGAAATGAAATTATATATTTCTTAAAGAAAGGTTTTGATAAACTTTTATCATGTTTTGTTTTGGGGACCAATTCCGCAACATCTTTTAAAAGGATTTCTCTGATTTTATTTTAAAAAGCATAAATTAAATCAGTCTTTTCTAGCCGAAAAATTTGGGAATATCACATCAGGTAAATTAGTGCAACACCTTTCACATTATTTTAGGGTTAAATATCTATATTAGTATCAAGTGAAAATTGCAGGAAATACCCTTTTATGTTTCATAAAATATTTGTTACATTTGGTTTTAATGTTAGTATTTATGGTACGATATCAATTTGCTGAATTTTGGAATGATTATCAGTTTCTGAAATTAAATCATAGAATACTTTATTCCACCTATAAATCTAATATACGTTCTTATTTTTTACTCTTACAGCACACAATTCACAAACAAAGAATCATGAACGGGAAGACTACTTCATTGCATTGCGTACAAAGAAGTTTTATGTGATTAACAAGGTACAATCAACAACTTATTATTTTACAATTTCTTCAAAATATGTATCTTAGATGCTCATTTGATGTTTAATGCAGGGCTAGCAGATAAAACAACATGATTGCAGATTGGTGTAGTTTATATATTGGACATGTTATAAATGTACAAAACTACATGATTGCAGATTGTTGTTATTTATATATTGTAAATCAAGTATGAACTATTAGATGAAATTCCAAATGTATACTCAAATTTTGTCGTATTGTATGACTATGCACCTAGCAAGAAACTCTCCGTTGAAATAAACTATTCGACACAAAATAGTCTATCAAAAGGCCGCAATGAATAGCTCACATCTAAAGGAAACTAATCATCATATTAAATCTATCTTCCGAAAGAAACTTTTTGCTGCCCGGCGCTTAGCGCGGTAATCGGCTAGTATACCTATTAATAGGATATGTGAGGATGAGATCTTAAAATTATTATTATTATTACCATTCACCAGTCCAATAAAATCACATCGGCTCTTCCTCGGCTGGGCTATCTCACCAGTCCACCTCTCAGCTGACTGCTGTCTGCCGCACCCAAACAAAACACCGGCGACCGGATTATTCTTTTGAGTAGCAGTTTTCTTCTCCGATTAAGGATCGCGGTAACTTTTACCTTCTCGCTCCAACTATTGCTCTTGTATTCATTTATCGATATAGGATAAAGACGTGTAATTGAAATATTACTTTGTATAAAGTTAGGGTTTTTTTCCGTCACCTGTGTAACTCTGTATTCTGTGATTTATGAATATGTAAAAGAATCTGTGTACTATAATCGTTTACATGGTATCCCTCCAAAGAATGTAGAAGCTTTGATGCTGAATAAGGGATTCGAGATTGAGGGTTCGCTTTCGTTTTTGATATAAGTTGAAGATGCAAAACGTTGATTCTGCGTGTTGTGGTTATGCTCTAACTTCGCAAACGGACCTATTTGGTGATGATAGGGCGGGTTTTACTTCTAATTTTTGGTGCGTTTCATGCGCTTATAGATGAATCTTGTTTTCATGGAATTTGGCCGGTGGGTTCTCTATTTTGGAATTCTTCAGTTTAGGACAGAGGGCATGCGATTATTACTTGTGAAAGGGTTCCTATCTCATATCACAGTCATAGAGAACGTAATTGCTATCATAAAATGCTTTTAATTGATTTCTATATGGTTGAAACAAAAGATAAGTTTCAGAAAGATAATTAAACCCTTATCTTGAAGGCTGTCTACAAATTGTATGTTTGTTCAAGTTACAATCTATTTCCAATCTTGACGCATTTTGGCAAACAGATAAAGATTTTGGGGGAAAAATGAGTTCTTTTTCAATTACAAGGAAAAAGACACCTTTTCAAAAGCACCGTGAAGAAGAAGAGGCAAAGAAAAAGGTAATATCTATCTAGGTGAATATATTTTGTATATTTAGTGAGTATTTTGATAGAGAACTCATTTCTTACTTGTTTGTGTTATGCAGAGAGCTGAGGATGAAACAGCTCGTCTATATGCTGAGTTTCTGGAATCATTTCAAGGGGATGATGCACCTGGATTAAAAGCCTTTGTCAGAGGAGGAACAGTTAATGATGAGAAAGTGAAGCCTGATACAGGTCAGTTTGTTAATAGGACCTTGTGTCAGTGTGTGTACTTTTCAGTTTTGTTCTTCAACTTTTAAGTCATTTAGAATTCTTTTTTTTGTGCACATATATGGATAATGAATGATTTATATTCCATGGACACATTAATAAACAAATGGGCCTTTTTATTCATGCACGCATCGCAGGTGGAAATTCCAAAGATGTATCTGGTTCAAAGAAGGGGAGTAGGTAAATCAACACTTTTGATTCATATGTTACACTGCTCTTACCATAAGGCATTCTGAATATAGAAACGATAAGTGATGATGTCATCCAACTCTGCTTAAATCTTGTTTAGGATGCTACTGAAAAAAGCTAAGAGGCTCTTGCTTATAATTCAATTTTAGGTTATTTATGTACTTAATATCTTTAGATGAGAGTCCGAGTATCGAGATACTAATGTTGGACACTTTCCATAGGATTTCCAACTTATTTAATGTGTACAACCCGTAGTACTTTGCTTATGTAGAATCTTGATGGCTGCGTATGTGTATGCTCAATGGCAATAACTATTGATTTAGAAAATTGTAGGAAACAACTTGTAACACCCTACTTCTACTAGAAGTACACCGGATTTTTTATTTATAAACATGTTTTTATACAAAGGGTGTAGTTAGATCATCCCCCTCCCCACAATAACATTTCAACAATCCATACGAACATGATAACATAAACGGAGTCTTCTAAAGCTTTCTCTATTCATCCTGAAGCCAAATTTTTCAAAGTCTCTTTTATCACTAGAATCCGCACCTGTTTTTTTATGCCAACAACAACAAACGAATAAGCTATAAATCTTAGTGAGTAACATAATACCAATGACATCTCTAGAATCAACATTGTTAAAACATCCATATATCAGTTATGGGCAAAATATCCAAATCCTTGTCCTCTTTACACTAGCATACACCTAAAGCCTAACACACTTTAGGCTTTATTTCAATACTCGACATAAGAAAGACATTAAATGGGATACTCCATTTTATATGTTATTACAATGCCACAATACCAGTTTACCGATATTATCCTATATAAGTATTAAACATCTTTATATCAACAAAGGAATGATATACATAATAGTTACTATTATCATCATCTTTCTTGATGATTCCCAACAACATAGTTTCCAATTTCTATGGTTTAGTTTTCCGACTTTCAGTTATAACTAGATACTTTTGTATAAGTGCCATTCATATAGTTTAAACTTTAAAATCATGATACTAAACTACTTTCATATAGGTGCCAATGTGCCATTCATATAGTTTAGGCTTCCAACTTTTAACCACAATAGCTGTCAAATACCAAATACATTTCATTTCATTATACATTTTGATGCTTCCTTCCTTAACATACACTTTGTTCTAATAATTTGATGTTATTTTCACTTATTTCTTGTATATGCACTTTATCTAACATTTACTAACATGTAATCAATTCACTCTATCCTCATTTAGCTCTTAAAACATGAACTCATAAATCTATAATCTGTGACTTTACACTTAAGTCATTTTTGCACGAAATAAATCATGCATTCGTCATTATTCCATCATATTTCCATGATTTGAACCAATAGTTCAATGCATCTCAACATAAGCCCTAACTTGCCATTTTATCCAATTTCATAGATAAGAGGTGAAATCTTTCCTTTAAATGTTATTAACCTTGCTAATAAACAACATTTACTTCATAATCATGGGACCACCACCTTAGAAAGTGCTTCTACATCGTTTATGATCATGGGGGAATTAGTTAGTAATTACCATTATAGACCAGGGTAAAATGGTCATTTTTCTTGTGTGTTTTGAAGTATAGAACAGGTAATCTGGTAATCCGGGGTTGAACATTATGCATCAAAGTTTTGTATCTGCAGGTATGTTCCTTCTTTCATCCCCCCTCCTATGGCAACCAAGGGTAAAGATCATGAAAAACAGGTTAGTATCCCGATTAAAGCTTTCCATGCACCATGTTGTATTTGTGGGTTTATCTTCTTTTTAAGCTAATTTTAGAAAGTGGATTTCTACAGAAAGAGGAGGAGAGGTCAAAGGAGAAAGGGAAAGGGAAGCCTAGGAATATAGACTATTTTATGGAGGAGTTGAAACATGAACAAGAAATGAGAGAAAGACGAAACCAAGAACGTGAACAATGGCATGATGGGCGTCAGACTGCTACTTCAACTGTAAGACATGATTAATCATGAAACATCATTGAATTTGAATAGCTATGTGAAACGAATTGATCCTATATGGCATTCAGAGCTTATTATAAAAAATCACCTGTTGGGAAAATGGTCTCAAAGATTTCTAATCACCTACCTAATGAAAAATTAGTGGAGAAAATTGATACAAGTGGAAAACTCCAAAACCAGAGAAAAACCATATGGGACTCTAGAGAGTAGAATCCAACTATATGATGACAAATTATGACAATCTCTCAAGCCTTATACACCTTTTTATAGGCATGAAGCCTACTTTACATTTCTACATTCTACATCTGTTTAAACTTCATTAGCCTTGATTAAACTATTGTATTTTACATACTCAGCTATCTACTCGATTTGATGAATTGCCTGATGAATTTGATCCGAGTGGAAAGCTTGGATCTTTTGATGATGGGGATCCTCAAACCACCAATCTTTATGTTGGGAATCTTTCACCTCAGGTGAGGTCATGATGATGCTTTTAATTTACAAAAGGAATCCTAATCCTAATCCTAACTAACATTTTTTCATTTCTATAATAACCAAATTAATCCAGGTAGATGAAAATTTTCTGTTGCGTACATTTGGAAGATTTGGACCTATTGCTAGTGTGAAGATCATGTGGCCAAGAACAGAAGAGGAACGCAAAAGACAAAAAAACTGTGGTTTTGTGGCTTTTATGAATCGTGCAGATGGACAAGCTGCAAAAGATGAAATGCAAGGTTAAATAAATTAAACCCTTTTTTGTTTATGTTTATATTAAGAAAGTTAATTAAGTTATCTATTGTTGCAGGGGTGATTGTTTATGATTATGAGTTGAATATTGGGTGGGGAAAATCGGTTTCCCTCCCTTCTCAATCACTCCCTGCTCCTCCTCCAGGACAAATGGCCATCAGGAGTAAAGAGGTATGCAATGTTTTTATATTTTATAAATTTAGTATTAGTGTAAAATGTAAATACATGTTTTAATGGTTGAAAACAGAATCTGATTATTTTTTTTTTTTGGTTTTGGTTTGCAGGGTGCCACTGTAATCTTGTCTGGTCCATCTGGTCCTCCTGTTACTTCTGTCCCAAGTCAGAATTCTGAGTTGGTAGGTTGACTTTAATATCTCTGTGTTATTCTTTTCATCCTGTGTTTATGTATTGACATTTTTAACCTTGGTGTTTAGGTTCTTACTCCGAATGTGCCAGATATAACTGTTGTATTGCTTGAAGATATTCGTCTTCGAAAAGTAATTGATACAATGGCTCTTTATGTTCTTGATGGAGGTTGTGCTTTTGAGCAAGCTATAATGGAGAGGGTTCGTGGGAATCCTCTTTTTAGTTTCTTGTTTGAACTTGGCTCTAAGGAACATACTTACTATGTTTGGAGGCTCTATTCCTTTGCTCAGGTACACATACTTTCCTTACCTTAATTACTTCTTTTGCCATTTAATCTTATATCAAGCTTCCCAAGATATGAAATTACATTTCAAGAAATAAAAATTAGGCGAGAGGATTCATTTCTAGAATTTGAAAGAAAAATTATGTTGAATGAAAGAATAACTTTTGGTTTCACAAATGCAGGGTGATACTTTGCATAGGTGGCGAACTGAACCTTTCATCATGATAACTGGTAGTGGGAGGTAACATATATTATTCATCTACACACATCATCTTTAATTACCTTTTTTTTTTGTGGATAAAAATCATAACTTTATAAATAATATGCAATACTTTTATGCTTTTTCATTGTCTAGATGGGTACCTCCTGCTTTGCCAACAGCCAAGAGTCCAGAAAATGAGGAAACTGGAGCCACATTTGCTGCTGGAAGAAGCAGGGTACTACTACTATCTTTTTTCTATTTTAGGCTTATAGCATTATTTTTTCTATTTAAAAGATTTAAAAAAAAAATTCTTCTTTGCAGCGTGTTGAGACTGAACGTACACTAACTGATGCACAAAGAGATGAATTTGAAGACATGCTTCGTGCCCTAACATTAGAAAGAATTCAAATCAAAGAAGCAATGGGTTTTGCATTAGATAACGCTGATGCTGCTGGAGAGGTAAATAATCGTGCACCTATTTGACAGGGGTAAAATGGTCATTTTTATAAAACTGAATCAGTTGTATTGGTTGCAGATAGTTGAAGTTTTGACAGAGTCTTTGACTCTTAAAGAAACACCAATACCCACTAAAGTTGCAAGGCTTATGCTTGTGTCAGACATTCTTCACAATAGTAGTGCTCCTGTAAAGAATGCATCTGCTTACAGAACCAAATTTGAAGCAAATTTGCCTGATATACTTGAGAGCTTCAATGACTTGTATAGGGGTATCACTGGAAGAATCACTGCTGAGGCACTTAAGGTACTGTTTTGTACAATGGAATCATGGGAGGAATGAAAAGAAGCAATTTGTTTTGTTTGATCATTGATGGAATGGAATAGTTCATTTCTGAAGGAATGTGATTATTTCCATTTTGTTAATTCTCATTCCATTCCATTCCAAACATGATCATGGAATGTAATGACTCATTCCATTCCACTCATCCAACCAAACATACTAACTTTCTCTTGTTTTCCAGGAACGAGTTTTGAAAGTTCTTCAAGTATGGGCGGACTGGTTCTTATTTTCTGACGCATACGTAAACGGTTTACGCGCCACATTTCTCAGATCTGGCAACTCCGGTGTTCTCCCATTCCATTCCATTTCCACCGACACCCCAGAAACCGAACACAACCCCAATTCCAACGACATCGGAATCACCAATTCCGACGCGGCATTAGCCATAGGCAAAAGCGCCGCCACAAAAGAACTAATGAGTCTCCCTCTTTCCGAACTGGAAAGACGATGCCGCCACAACGGTTTATCCCTAATTGGCGGCCGAGAAGTGATGGTTGCACGGTTGCTTTATTTAGAAGAGTCGGAAAAACAAAGGGGTTATGAGATAAACGATAATTTGAAATATTCAAATGTACGGAATCCGAGAGAGAGTAATGTTGATTCCGGCCCTGTGGGGTTTTCAGGAAGGAATCATGAGGTTTTGTCAGAAGGGAGAGGTTCGGAATCGTTGATTCCGATTCCGATTCCGATTCCGCAGACTGAGTTGAAACAGTTTTCTAATAAAATGAAAAGTGATTCTGTATTACCTGTTTCTAAGTGGGCTAGAGATGATGATGAAAGTGATGATGAACATAAGAGAAGTACTAAAGATCTTGCTTTAGGTTATTCATCTTCTGGAAGTGAGAATACTGGTGGTGGTGGTGGCCACGCTGAGGTGGCAGAGCCGCTAAGTAATGCTAACATTTTCTCCGATAGTGGGCTGAGTGAAGAGAAGAGGTATACTTTTATAGCATTGTACTTTGATTTTATTTTTTTCTTATAATGTTTTCTCACGTGTGTTCTATGTGTAGACAAAAGTTGAGACAAATTGAGGTTGCTTTGATTGAATATCGTGAAGTTTTAGAAGAAAGGGGAATGAAAAACAAAGAAGAAATTGAAAAGAAAGTTGCAGCTCATCAGAAACAGCTACAATATAAATACGGCTTAACAGATTCCAATGAAAATGCATCAAACAGTGAGTTTTAAAAATCCATTTCTAAATGCAAGAAATATCAACATACTTTCTTTGTGTATTATTATAGCATCTTATTACAATTTTATATTTTATGAACATAGGGTTATCATCTACAGACAGAAGGGATAAAAGAGACAATTCGCGTGAATCTTCTAGAAAGCGTCACCGGAGTCATCGTGGTGGCAGTGAAAGCCCACCACCACCAAAGTCATCAAGTAGAGACAGGGAGAAAGAACGAGACTATGACAGAGATAAACGCAGAGATAGAGACAGGGATAACAGGAGAAGAATGAGCTGAGTCAAGAATGCATGATGATGATGATGATGATGATGTATGTGGTGTTTTGTATGGTGGGAGAAAAAGTATGGGGTGCATGTCATTTGGTCATGTGGTACAATTGAATGATGAATCTTATTTGGTGTATAAACGACATGGTTATTACTTTTTGTTTTGGAATGAGACTAATTGGTTTGGTTTATTGCACGTATGAGAAAATTCTTGTATTCGTGTTTTGAATTATGAAGCAACAATGGAAGGTGGAGTGTTACATGGTCAAATTCATTAAAGTGTATGGCTAATTTTATTAGGTCTTGATTCGTTTAAGCCTAGCTAACAATCTAGCAGGTTGCTGTGTACCTGATTTACTTCTTGCATTTATGCTTGGAAGAATACCGTGTTTGTGTAAAGGTGTTAAAGTTTATGACATGTAAACCAATTGGATCTTAGCTCATTTGCATACGGTAGCACATTATTCTGAAATAGATGAAATATAAGCATTTTTTATATATCACTATATATTATATTGCTTTAAAAGGAATCATACTAAAGTATGTTGCTTACATATTCGCCATACCCAAACAATGTTACAAATGAGATACATTATTATACCGTATGTTATATTGCTATGAAGGGAATCATAGTAAAGATATTTTTTTTATAACACCATAAAATAAAACCAATCATGATTTTAATTTTGTCTTGAAGGTTAGATCATATTTATGAAAAACATGTGACAAATATTAGGGATTAATCCTAATTATTTATTTATTTATTTTTACTTTGCCTAAATCACCATTATGTCTGAAATGGATTGTTTCAGAACAATGGTTGTTGCCACCGGGGAAATGGGGGAAAAGAGAGAGAAGGGAATTCTTTCCACGAGCAGCGGTTGTTTCCATGATAGGAAAAAGGGAGTATGAGAGAACTTGTTGGAGGAATGCAATAGTTGTACCTACTACACACCATTAGTACCAATGCTGATAAAAGAATCAAGGACATGCACCATGTTTAGTTGTGATGCTCTTGTTGTAAGAAATTTGTTGTCTGATTATTAATCATCATGGATTCATTGTCCCCAAATCCACCACGGAGTTAATCATGCAACATACATCAATATTTTTGATAGCCCATAACCCTGTCAAAAAATCTGGTCGGAACATCACCCTTTAGACTGTGAAGAACCATCACACTTTAGATGGATTGCTTCACCATAGAACCAGAAGGAGAAGGACCGTTTGTAGTGACCACATCCCTACCACCCATAAGTAGGAATGGCAACGAGGCAGGTTCGGGGCGGGGCATGGTTTCCTAAACCCGTCCCGATATCTTTCAGGTATCTTATCGGGACGCCCTATTGGGTTTCGTGTTTTCCCATCAGGTTTCGGGTATCTTATCGGGTTTAAAACAATCCATAACGAAATCTATATTCCGATTTAGGTATCCTGATGTTTTATAAAAAATATAACAAAAAAATTACATTATTAAAAAGATACATGTTCTAGCCTCCGTTTTAAATTAAAAATATGATGCATCACTTTGATAAAATAAACTAAATGTTATATTAAAAATTATTTGATTTAAGTTTAGTGTAATATGTCAAAACATATAAAAAAAATCATTGCACAGATTGTTAATAATTAAAAGGATTGCCATAGTAAGTATTGTATATTTGAATGCGTGCAATTAATATAAAAAGGATTCGAACATATATATATATATATATATATATATATAGAGAGAGAGAGAGAGAGAGAGAGAGAGAGAGGAAAGATCATTTGAGAACTTATATATTCCCGAGAACCCGAGAACCAAATGAGGACCGTTAGATCAAAATAATAGAAGGTTAAGATGTATAGTGACATTTTGTAAATACTTAAACAAATAAAACACGGGGGCATGGTAATAAAAGTTAAACCGGGACATTTTTGGAATTTCCCCAAATTAAATCCCTCATTCGCATCAATCTCTCTCTCTCTCTCTCTTACCTTCATCTCGCCTCCTTGAAGACAGATGATTCCAGATCTCTGATATGTCTCTGATCTCTCTCCGTTGCCTTAACTATCACCGTCTCATGTCGACATCACCACCTCCCTCTTATATCCACCGTATGTCGAAATCACTAACGACGTCTTTTCCTTCCTCACTATATATGTAGACGACTCATACTACATCAGCCTACCACTTTCTCTGTCGAAGATCTTCCACATCCAGCCACCCTCCCCTCTCTATCAACCATCAATAGTTCATCATTAATCACAATGAAGGTAATTTTTTTCTGATTGATTGAATTTTCTAGTTTTTGTGTTTTGGTTCCTGTGATCCAAAACGATAGCTAGGGAATATATTGACGTTTCATCAAAGTTTTGAATCCTCTACCTCTATTCTACCTGCTTTCAGCATCAGATCAGCATGTGTCATCCTCAATCATTCAAAATCTCTATTTCTTTTTTTATCTTTTGATTTCCATCGGAGAAAATGAATCAGATGCTATACTTTCATTTTCTTCAATCATATGAACATCACGTGAAATTTGAATCATTAAAATCCTTATTCCTTCCCTGTTTTTGTAGAAAAGTGGCGATTTTACACTGTTATTGTAATCATAATTAATTTAAAATAGAAAGTATCAGATGAGTACCAATGGAAATCTTTGAATTTTGTTAGATTTTGATTCTAATCAAGTCTGTTTAGTCATCCTTCTCGTGTTTCATTTATCATTGATCCGTGCACACAACCTGTTTGATAAAGTGTCACAGTTTTACTTCATTTAAGTTGTCCTTAGAAGAGATGTATGATGTAATCCACTTTTTTGACAAGTGTAACCCCTAAGATATTATGTTACAACCTAGAAGAGATCCTCCAACAGTGGGTGATGACGCCATCTCCCTCTTTTCTTACAAACGGGCTTTCTCCACTCCTTTCTTTCTTCACTCTCAATACAGTTGTTGGTGACCTGACATACACACAGACCATATGTCAAGTAGATATTTTACATATCTCACATGGTTTACTTTCATTTAGTATTTGGAAGAATTACTTTCTGAAAAGAGATTTTGTTTGCTTATCATATGAGACATGTTAGCCAAAAATTTGGGGAGATAGCTTTTTGTGCAATCACTTCAGATGAACAAGTAAAGGGTTATGGTAAAAGATTGATGAATCATCTAAAGTAACATGCTCGAGATATGGATGGGCTTACTCATTTTCTCACATATGAAGACAACAATGTTGTTGGTTATTTTAATAAACAGGTTAAGCATCTTTTACTTGTTTTTTCATCATTTAGTGTTACTAATTAAAAGTTAAAACACCTTCTTATCCGTTTGTAATCCACTGTTTTTTAAATATACTTTGTTTTTTCTTGTTAGGTTGTATCGAAACCGGGACCCACAGTGAAGAGGATCTCGGGGCTCAGTATACTTGACAATAATGGTGTGAATCTCGTATCGGTATTTTTACCTTCAGTTCTTACCTCTTTCATCTGCTTATACATATTCTAACTGTACAATTTTACCCTTTTAATCTGCCAAATATTGCTATAATGCCATTATTCATGTTGCACCCTTCTTCATTCACATATCATGTTAATTTTTGCAACTCGGTTATGGTTTTTATGAGTTTATGTTTGTTATGTACAAAATGGAAAATGAAAATTACATGATACTCAAGTTTGATAATCGGAAAAAAGCCTATTTCATCCCCGAATAACTAGTAATGAATGTAAAAAATATTTTCACTAGATTTATTTTGTAAAATTTAGAAACCGAGATGTTTAATAGATTGTTTGATTTATTAAGTTAAACAATGAATCGGTTGTTTGAGTCATTGATCCGTGCACACAACCTGTTTGACTAGATCTAGCTGCACCAAGAAGTGTAAGGAATAAGCATGCCAAGCTCAATATATTAAACCAAATCCAGGTAAAAGAAACCTTTTACTGCAATTTTTTGGAATCTTATGAACCCGACCTATGAGAATTTAATAATTTATATTATGATATTTGGGTGGATATCTCTATATGTGATTTGGCATAATAATTTAGTAATTAATTGGAAGCAAGACTATAAATATGTAGTGATTTACATGTAAATCACAAGTGAATCACATATGAATTACATGTGATTCACATGTAAATCACATGCAATTCACATATGAATCACATGTGATTCACATGTAAATCACAGGTAATTCACATATGAATCACATGTGATTCACATGTAAATCACGAGTAAAACACATATGAATTAAATGTAATTCACATGTAAATCATATGTAATTCACATATGAATTACATGTAATTTACATATGAATCACATGTGATACACATGTAAATCACGAGTGAAACACATATGAATTACATGTGATTCACATGTAAATCACATGTAAATCACATATGAATTACATGTGATTCACATGTAAATCACATATGAATTACATGTGATTCACATGTAAATTACAAGTAAATCGCTTATGAACTACGTCTATCTGCACAAATGCATTTTGTGTGAGTGTTCTTCGCTATTTTTTTTTAAATTTTCTGGTGAATTTCATATTTGTATCTTAAAAGATATATTCGCATGTGAATATCACATTATATAATCACATGTGAATCTTATATGATATATATATATATATATATATATATATATATATATTTATGGGTGTTCTTGAATTAATCAAATTATTTTTTTGATTTTCTTGTAGATTTGGAAGAATTTGTGGAAAATATTGAAGAGGTGAAAAGTGAAAAATTAAAGAAAATATGTAAATATTCACACGAAGACTGGAAAACGCTTTAAAATTTTGTAGCATTTTTTTTTATATATAACTTTGTATCGAATAAAATACTTGTATAATTGTGTTTAAAGATTAGCAATAAAAATGGGTTTTTTTTATGATTTAGTTATGATTATTATAGTATAAGAAATATACATATATACACTTGAAAAAATATGTATATATACACCTAAAATGTTGATTTTTTTAGTTAAAAAAACTATAGTTTTTTTTTATTCCAGATTTTTTTTTTTAATTTACTGTTTCAAAAACATTGCAGTTTTTGTTCTATTTTTATTTTTTTAAATAAATTTTTTCAAGATTTTTTTTTTAAATTCGTGTTTTCTAAAAAAAGTTAAAAAAATCTGCATTTCTTTTAAAAACGAAAATTATTATTTTTTTAAAAAAATTTGAAAATTAAATTAATTATGTTAATTTTTAGATATTTTTTATTAATATTTCTAATAACACAAAAATTAATCATTAAATGAGATAGGTAAGATGACG